AAATACCACCCTCTCCCCCCAAGAATCTGTGGCTAGCTGAACCAAAATATTGGGTCAGTGCAATTCAGTTTCTGGGTCACATCCAGACCTGACCTTTGTACTTCCCACTCATCTTTATTCAAACATCTATCTTGTTTTGTTTCCCAGTGCAGTACAGCTGTTTTCCAACTTGTGTGAAAGAGCTTCTGATAAAAAATCACATTTTTGTCCTTGTAGAAGAACTTTTTTTTTTTCTCAAGGCTGTAAACTTAGCCTAACATTTATTTTCTCAAAACAGTGCAAAATATTTTTGTTCAAAACTGTGATATTACCCTCTACAGCAATACCCAATTTAAAAAGAGAAAAAAGAGCCAACACTTTTCCTGCAGTTTTAAGAGAACTGATAGATATTTCTAAGTGTTTTGGAAGAGGAAAATACTTAATACAAAATGATTTTACCACCGGAGAGTTCAGGGTTCAAAACGGGTGGATGCATTTGGTCATCATCCACATCCAAAGCTACCAATGATACAATACTTTCCTTTATATGGTGTGGTACTCTTTTTTTATGAATAGCAAAAGTGGTAGGAGCCCTGTGCCTGAGGTGACTAAAAGCTGAGCGTTGCGTCTCACTTGCCTGTATCTGTCTTTCATTTCAGAAGTGCTAATTTTAATCAAAAAGGACGCGAGGGATGTATTTTTATACACTAGCCTAGTGTTCACGGAAGGAAGTGCATGCCACATAAGTAAGGAGGCATTTGCTACAATTAACAGGTTGCTGGCTATGCACATGTCTGTATTTGCAGGATTAGATCTGATTTCCTTGGGACACTGTTGTCTTCATGTTTAACAATGTTGGTTTTGTACAACTTGCACTGCACTGTACAATGTTTTGAACACCTTGTGCTAGACGCCTACCAGCAGGACTGGAGCTTCGTGGTCCAGGGACAGTATGTATTTTAAAGAATAATACTTTGCTCAGTGTGCTTTGTGGGACTTAACACAGACTAACATGAAGGATAACATTGTGCCTAGTTTAAACATGGTGCAGTAACAATGCAACTTCTATAAAGCAACCCAGCCTGGTGCTGGCATAAGCAGGATTACCATTTGTGCTTTGCCCAACACAAAGCCCAAGCACATTTCACTGAAATAGCTTGACTAGTTGCATGAATAGTTGCAAACGTGATTTATGCTATTTGTTGTTGAATTTGGAAGAAAGGAAAATGTTTTTCATTTGCCAATAGAGAGCAGTTTAAGAGCCCTTTTGAGAGGCAATGAAATTACATCTACTACAGAAATGCCAAGAGGTCTTTCACTATCTACCAGCACTTGGAACATCACTAATAATTGCACGGAAAAACTTTTTTACTGATAAATTGTTAATAACTAACTGGAAAAAAATTACAGTTTTCTTAGAGAATAAAAAATGTCTCAAGCCTTGAAGGACTGCATTATCTATTTTGTAATTCAACTTAGAACAGCTCCCTTGATGTCCTACATTTTTGAGCTCAATGCTAAAATTCAGAACTGTTACATTAAACATATGTAATAGGATTGCCTTCTGAACGTAGGAGGAATCCAGGCAGAAAGCCCCACAGGAATTCAGTTATTTCATCTATACTGTGCTGCAGGACTTAAAGGGCATGCTTTATACTTTATGAAAAGTAAAAGGATTTTTATTTCTCTACAGTAAAAACCAAATCAAATGGACAATGGCTGTTATGACTTTAAGCCTGACTATTAAAAGCTTATAGTAGAGAGAGAGTGCTATGTTTTCCAGGATGATGACTTTTTTTCTCATATTTGTTGTGTCTGATTTTACTACTGCTGGCATAGGTTCAGTCCCTACCCAAGGTTTTTTTGTTTTAAGTTAACCGTTTATTGTACAGAACAGTATCAGCCTTAGCACTTCCCAAACAGGAGCCATTTTTCAGCAGGTCTAAAATGATCGTGAAGTTGCAGCTGGAAACCTTCACCTCATGAGTTTTTCTATTGCTTTTCTGGATGTTAACTCTGCCCAAACCACAGTCTGTCATTAGGATCACTGGGATTCCAGTCTGGGTGGAAACTGGGGTAGCAGTGTGAAATAAAAACACCAAAGTGCAGAGACCTTCGGAAGACATCAACTTTCATGAATACCTTGAAAGTGGTATCAATAACAGTTTGTGAAAAATCTGCTCGCAGCAAAGCAATGTGGTAGCTAATCTTGCGACGGCTTGCTCAGGAATGCATGGTTTATTATTAAAGTAATCTTTTAAGATTTTATTGGAATGTGCTTCCACAGTGGTGTCGCTGCCTTTGTGGGCTATACTATGTGTGTGTCATCTTGTCCATAATTAAACTTTTCTCTGACAGACCTGGGATTTTTTTTCCTTAAACCTCCCACTTTGAATGCTGGAATTTCATTTGAACTTTAAATACTGCCTTGGAATTTGCCATAAGGTAAACTGTCTGCTCTTGTATGCTTCCCTGTGCTGCTACAGATGTTGCAGACACACAATAAGTGACTGAATGTAAGAGGAGTTGCAAACTTGTGTCTTAGTGTTAAAAAAAGGCTGACAGGAATGAAGTAGTTGTTCAGATGCTCAGGTTATCCCTAGAGAATTCTCACTTTGGAATATATGGGAATAAAAATTAATGGAAAACTGGCCTAGAAAGTACATTTTCAGTGAAGCTTCACTGCTGTCAACTGGAGAAGGTGAAGCATGTCAAAGGAAACATGAAGGAAGAATTTGTACTTCAACCTTTGGACTTCTCAGCCAAGTTTCTCATGTGACTTGAACTTGCTGACCACTTCTTTTTATAAATTCAGTTAAAGGTAAAGTCCACAGGATATCTGAAGCAAAAAGCATCCTTGCTATTTTAAAATCTTAAATGACAATCTATAGTTCATTTTAGTATAGCTCTAGGCATATCTCTGGGAAACGCAGTCTACACGTTAACAGCCTCGGTACCCAAATGCTGGGTCATCAACAGACCTCAAATTTGTCTTGGAAATAGTTTCTCCTGGAATCAAGATTACACTTGAATAATTATTTAATTGAAGGCTTGTTTGTTGAGGCCCAAGTTTGGGCATCTCAGGCTTAGACTGCCACAGGGATTTAAATTCGTAATATGTTCAGCCATTTAGAAGAAGTGTATAGGAGAAGCGTAAGAGGTATCGCCCCTCAGCTGAGGTACAACAGCTCTCTGGGTCTGTGTCTTAACCAGCTGCAATGCTAGGTAAACCCAATTATTTTAGATTGCCTTCAAAGGTATTTGCTAACAATTAAATCTAACCTCTCTCTCAGCTGATGACTGCTAATATGGCTTCTTTATGGCTGAGAAAGGATGACTTCCCATAGTACTTTATGCTCTGCCACGCTTCAGGCAGGGATACTTCAGGAGGAGATGGTGAATTTTAGGACTGGAAGCTCATGCACTGCCATTATAGCACGGTGGCTCTCCAGCTCTGAGGTTCCACCCATCTGACGTGCTCACCAGCACAATGCAGGCTTCCAAAACAAAAGACACATTGTGGAGCTGTTCAGCAGTTTTTCGTATCTCCTCTCATCTACAGCCATAGTTTGCCTCAGGCCTGTCTGTGGATGTGTGCTGGCATGGAGGGTAGGCATGGTTTTATGCCACACAACATGGTTATGGTGTGCAGCTTACGTAGTGCTGCTGTTCCTAGCATGGCTGTGCTTGGCTCAATGGCCAGCAGATTTTAGTTGAAGTAGAAGTGACATTTCCAACACTGAAACCCAGTGCTTGGTCACTGGTATGGTCAACCAGGAACATGGATTTGTCTGAGCAAAAAATATGCTGGTAGGCAGTATCATCTCATTTGAAAGAGTACACTGCCCCCACCCATGTTAAATAAATAAACACAGTATTTTGTCTGGCAGCCATCGAGATGAAGAAAGACCAATACTCAAGCCATGTAGGCTGACTGTGAGGCTACTCTGTAAATAGTGGGAGGCAACCGCTTTCTGTCTTGAAGGAAGGGTGGCCAGTATCTGTGGCCCAGATGACAGTGTATGTGCGCATACATTCCTGCATACAGGAAGAGATTTTGGCCACTGTGTGCTTCTCACTGGAGAGGTGCTATGTCCAGAAGAGAGGAAGAATTTCAGACCCATCCCTCTTGGCAGTGTTTCACATTGGCTGACTGTAGCTCCTTCTGTTTATGAGCGTTATATATTCTGGCTCTGTTTTTTGAGTCCACAGCTGGTGCCTGACTTTTGGGCTTCATAATATTTAGCATCCAAACATGTGAGCCTCTTCTGGGGTCTGGCCCATCATTCCTAACCTGTACAGATCGTTAACTGGAGTTTGACAGTTGACCTGCTTAGCTGTGTTTGCAAATTCTGCTAAAAATGCCTTGATCTTTAGGTGTCTAAATAGTTTTATAAACCTAGTCTTACTCCTTCCAGTTAATTGAAACCTGTCTTTGGCGTGCTGCACAATTCCCTGTCTATATGTGTCATCATGAAAGCTTGTCCTTAACCCTTGTGATATGTAAAGTGAAGTTGCTTAAATTGCACGCTGTACACAATTTAGATCTAAGCAAATCCAGA